TCATGGAATGTTTCTAGGAGGGTAGAGGAAGGAGGAAGCTCAGGAAGGAGTTGTCTAAAAATTACAGCCCAAAAGATGGCATTGGCGTATTCTGTACGCCGGCCCCTCCATTGCAGGGTTAATATTTTATACTAACTTATTAGCATTTCAAAGTCTGATTATCATTTTATTATATTTTTAATAATTATATTTGAATATAAATGTAATTATGATTGTTTAAAAAACTGCTTTTATGATACAGGGTGTCTTTCAGCGGCTGAAGGGTAAAACTGCTACACACTGGTAGTTCATCTCAAAGTCAAGCCACGGTAACAGACTTCCCTCTCCTTAAGCAAATAGCCCAGGAGTGCTTTTGATATTCTAAATAATCCTAATCGTATTTATACATGGACATAATTAGAAAAAAGGCATTTGGTTAGATTAAACATGACTTCCATAAATTAAAAAATATATATATTCGTATTAGAAGTACAATTAATTTATTTAGACATTAATTCCTGTTTGTTATGGCTAGACTCCCATATATTTAAATATTAAGTAAATAATTAAAAAAATTCATTCTAATTAGAAATTGTCTGGAAATATGAGCAATAAGTTAAAAAAAGAGTATATTTTATTCTATAAAAATTAAATCATTTTATTCTGATTAGAAGTGTAATTAATTTATTTAGAAATTAATTATACATAAATACACATGGGATAATGTGAGCCATAAGTAGGGAAAAGGAGCATATTTTGTAATTTTCATGTATAAAAATAAAATTATCTTATTCTAATTACAAGTGTAATCAATTTATTTAGAAAATAATTAAACAACAAATTCAAAGCATCTACTACAAGGGGTGATCAAATGAAAAGGTATGAAATGACACGGTGGGTACAAATGTAGACTTTATTCAAAATATACACCATAGGCCTGAGCACAACGATGCCACTGATGAACAAGCCACAGGATTCCTTGTTCCCAGAATTCCTATGGCCATGACGAGACCCAGTCCTTCTCAGCATCCTTGAGTACGTCGTTCGAGTTGAAGGGCTTCCCATTCAAGTGTTTCTTCAGTGGACCAAACACATGGAAATCGCAGGGCGAGATGTCCAGACTGTAGGGCGGATGGTCCAACGTCTCCCACTTGAACTTGGCCAGTTCCATGTGTGCGACTCTGGAGATGTGTGGATGCGCGTTATCATGGAGCAGAACCACACCCTCCATGAGCAGCCCCGTTCTTTTGTTCTTGATGGACCTGCGTAGTCGTCGGAGTGTCTCACAGTACACATCGGAGTTAATGGTTTTTCTTTGCTTGAATTCCACAAGTAGTGGACCTTGAACGTCAAAAAAGATGGTGAGCAACACCTTGCTTGCTGACAGCACGGCTTTGAACTTTTTAGGGGGAGGTGAAGACGCATGCTGTCCCGCTTTGTCTCTGGCTTGTAGTGATGGCACCAAGTCTCATCATCTGTGATGATCCGCTCCATGAAAGTGGGGTCTTCCTGATACGGAAACAGATGTTGCAGTGCTAGCCCCATACACAGTTCCTTTTGCTGGTCGGTGAGCTGCTTCGGAACCCAAGTGGCACACACCTTCCGATATCGCAACCTGTCGTGAACAATTTTCCACACAGTTCCATAGCTGACATCCACCTTCACCGCCAACATTCACAATGTGACACGCCGATCACTTCTCACTAGGTCGTCCACCTTGTCGATGAGATCGCTTGTGATGACAGTGTTTGCCTGTCCTGGTCTCAGGTCATCACCCACCATCTCACGGCCTGCACGAAAACGGGCACTCCATTTTCTGACAAACTTGTCAGAGACACATTTCTCCTCGTAAACTGTCACCATCCGGCGATAAATAGCTTCCGGTTTCTCACCTTCCGCTCTCAGAAATCGGATAACACCTCGCTGCTCCTAAGTTGTCGCATTTTGCAATGCGAACACCATTCTGTCCTCATACGGACTGCCGCATCATTTGGACATCGCTTTTGTTAAGAGCCTCTGCTCTTTCCTGTGCATGCTCCGATCCCAGTCAGAGACTCCAATCGCATCCCGAGATGTCTCGCTACGTTCTCCCACGGCGGAATATGAAAATATTTAACTTTTACGTTGTTTCGTACCTTTTCATTTGACCACCCCTTGTATAATTATACTCCGTGCTACTGACAAAGTCATGTGATCATCAGCACAAAGATTTATCTGCAAAGTCACGACACCCAACGCGAAGTATCAACCATATAGAAAGAAAGTATCCCTTTCCTTTTCCCTATTGTAGTTAGCATCCGGCCTAGCAACCTAAACACTCTTCCCACTGTTTGGCGCATATAGCCCAAGTTGACGAATGCGATTTCAGGAACCTCGCCAAGTGCTTGTTTATCTGAGTATTCCCGATATTTCAAATGTACAACATATACAGAATATTTAATTTTTAACATTTAGCTAATAGATTCATTTAAACAAATCTTGTTTTTTTTTTGGAGGGGGGGTTACAATTATTATTACAGAATAAGTTAAATTATTGCCATACAAATCACAGAAAGGTACACAGGAATTCTATGAATGACAAAAAATAAATAAACATAGCTCTCATAAAATCATAAAATTTTCAAAGAAACCATCATTTAACACATGCAAATGTGGTTTTCATTAAATAAGGTGATCTTCTGAGAAGCTTGATACTATAAGAAACTAATACACAACCTTAGAATGAAAAAGTTTTCACTTATAGGTTTGGATATTCATAGGTATCATATTTACTCATAGGTATATATGTGTGATCATTTTGCTTCCCATGACCATAATGTATGAAGCTGATATGTGGAACCAAACCAACTAATTACTAAAACAGGCTGCTCGGATCTAAAAAATGAAAAGTTATGTTTAAATTTTTTCAGTTTGGGAGATCCTTAAATTTAGCTAAACTAAATAAACTGCTACAAAATCAAGGAGTTTTCTGTGCTGCCTACTTTAGCTAGTGTATTGTTCATAAATTATGGAAGTATGTAAACATGGAGTGATAATATCAATGGTAACATGAACAAATTAAGTATATTTGCAAGATTAAAAGATGGGCAGTGATTTAAATAAAGGTAAATCTTGAGTGTGCTGTTTCTGCTCAGTAATTCTTTTCCGTTTAAATTTGCAAATTTCAGATTGCTGCATCTATGAAAATGTTCTAAGATTTTTCAGTGAAGAACTGTTAAAATAAAAGTTAGTAAAATTTTATTCTTGACTAAGCCAGCCTTCATCTGGCTTTTAAATGTACCGAAAAAATGCCTCAAGAGAAAACCAAACGTTAAATTTAAGAATGCACAGAATTTTACTCTGCAGAGCAACTTTAGCCTCCCCCAAAAATCCACAAATTAAAAAAAAAATGTATTACATATAACAAAATTACAATGAAATAAGCAATATCCCTTAATACAAATATTAATTACCCTAATAAATAATTAGTCAAATTCCCATTGCCTTCTCCCAACCAACGTCCAGTATCCAAGAGAAACATTAAATTTAAAAACTGCACAGAATGATCGCTCTCATTTTTCAAGTGGCAACAGTGCTGATTTTTAACAGTCAGCAGTCCTGTATACAATTGAATGAAAAACTGTTGCCAAAACCACATTTCTAAAAGAATGAAACTATTCAAAATGATGGAATAAAATCAAAAAGATAAAATAAAAAAAAATCCGATTCGAATTTTGAAAAAAAATCGCTTCGAGGTGCACTGGCTCTTGTTTAGATGCACCTATGCATCAAATTTCGTAGCCCTGGGTTTATTAGCTTTTACGCGCAGCACAAACGAAAAGACACACACAGACTCTTTCTTTTATTATATGTAGAGATAAATAGATTATATAGATCTACTTTAGGGAAAAGTCAACATTTTTTGTCAGGTGAACTGTTACATGCAACTAAAATTACAATTCAGTACAAAATGTCGCAGCTCACAGAAAAGCCATACTTAAAAACAAGATTTATATATTACATACTGATAAACTACAACTTCTCAAAAAGGCTGTTCGTACGTTTTTTTAGATGATTTTCGTTGTATTTACAGACATATTCTACATAAAATTTTGTATTTTAAATGTTCTGTTTGATAACCCTTATTCTTCACTATCTTTCTACACTGTAATTTACAAGAAAGTCTTTTGTAGTATCAGATGTATTTTATCCCATTTTCAAGAAAGTCTTTTGTAGTATCAGATGTATTTTATCCCATTTTCAATGTTCAAAAGTGTAAAAATCTATAGGTGATAGATCAGCAGATTTAGTAGGGATGTAAGTGATGGGTATGGCCTTGATACCCATTTCTTATTCCATTTTTTCAGGAAATTAACAGTGGATTTTGACTTGTAGTTGCCTGCTATGGTTTAATGCAGTTCTACTGATTGATGCCACTGTGGGTAACAAGAAGTTATTTCATATTTGAAAATTGGATATAAAATATGTTCCTGATAATATGTGAAGTTTATCAGAACATTTTCCTGCAGTCTCTTTATTTTTAATTTCTCATTAAATGAAAAAACAGCAACAGTCATATATCCTTTTGAAAAACTTTCTTTAGATTCTTTGAACCATCTTTCAAAAATTTTTTTCCTTCTCTTTGTTGTTAATAAATGAATCTCTTTTTATTGCAGTCATTTAAATACACCCAAGATTCATCTATTGTAACAATATTTTTGCATTTCTATATGGGTAAATGTTTCTCTCAAAGAATTCTGCAGCATAGTTTGCATTTGGCGATATATTGTGGAGAAAGTTGATGCACATTATGTTTTACTACATTTTTAAGATTTAAGTCAGCATTAATCACTATGTTTACAATTGACACTGAGCATTTTAATTATTTTGCAGCTGCCTTTGGCTTGGCAGATTTTCTTTTCACATTAAAGATTTTACCTTTACAACATTCGAAACATTCCGTTTTATGCTTGGATATGTAGTTGGAAAAAATTTTCTATTTGAAACCAAACTTTGACTTACACCCACCCCTCTTTTTGACAATATTATCTATCGTAGCTTTATATATATATATATATATATATATATATATATATAATGCCTTTCACAGCATTTTTTAATAACTAGATATGAATATTTTCTTGGAAAGATCACTAATGTAGCCTTCACCCATTTCTTTGTTAAAAGTGTCATTTTGCATGAAAACAAAACTGTCAAGTAGCAGATGATAGTTTATACTAAAAAAAAAAAAAAAAAAAAAAAAAAAAAAAATCCAAGCTGACTATTTTTTTAAAAAAGCGAAGCAAAATTGCCCAAAAAGTGTGCGAACAGCCTCTGTACATATATAGTAATCAGGCAAAGGAAGATGTCACTTTTTGCAACTGTTTTATTTCATTTTGCTTACTTCCAAGTGTTACATTATTAAAAAAAAAGACTACCTGTATATCTTATATTCAATAAAAACTCTCTTTATATATATCTTTATTTATTACAAGAGTAAGATTAAAATTGCTAAACGCATTTCATATCATGTTTATTTGTGCATTTTCCTCCCTTTCTTACTATCATACAAAAATCAAGAATTTCTGCACTTGAATAAGAATACATAATAATAAAATTACAATATCTAATTAGGTATATTTATTTCTACTCTTCTGTATGTTGAATCTTGCTTGCTTTCATTGTTGTTTATTGTTACCCCTTAGGCCTCAAATCATTTAACACTGCTAGAACTACTGTTTGTTGTTTGTTACATCTTGGCAGTTGTCACTGTTTTTATTGTCTTTATTCAATCTGTCTGCATGAAATGATTTTCAGATTCATCACTGATATTAAATATCCCCATTTTCTTAAAGCACTTCACTATAATCACATCTTCAACTGGAGTCACACACTAAAAATCCATGAACAAGCCAATCAGTAAGGCAAAAATTATCACTACCTGGATGAATCCATCATAAAATTTAGGGAAGCTCACTTTATAAAACAGGGTTCGTACGGTCCTTAAGAGTCCTTAAGTTTTTTAAATCAATTTTTGGTCCTCAAAAGTCCTTAATTTCGGCCAAAATTGGCAGAAGGTCCTTCATTTTAAACATCTGAAATTTCTGTCTGTTTTTACAATTGCTATTTTGAGTGTGAATTAGCATTTTGCAAGAATATTTTTGACGATTCACTGACAAATATGGTTATTTTTTGAATGGGTTCATGGATTATAATTTGTTCCTATTTGTAATACAAAATGATAGGATACTCGAGTTTCTGAGCAAGAAGTGAAACATGAACATTTCGAAATTATTTTATTTTTTGTAATGAACAGCTCTCAAACAACTTTCCGCTTTTGGGGATGTGAATTCGAAAGAATTAAACGGTACTAAATTTGGCGATTTTAAGATCGGTTTCTATAGAAAATTTTTAATTCTGAAATCTGGTAATTTTTTGATGATTTTTTTAGAACATTCTAACATTGATAAATTTCACTAAAATAATGGTCATATATTGGAATTATATTTAAGAAATAACATTCAAATAAAGCATTTTTATTTTTTACTGTCATATAATAAAGTTCCATTTTCGCCACATATTATACAATGTTTTAAATCTGAAAAATATGCAAAGTATAATGATATAAAGCACAATTTATGAAAGAGTTTTTAGCAAAAGCGAAATAGCTATGTAATTAATTAAAAATGTTTTTTTAATTTTTTATGGTAACAGTTTTTCCCACTTATCAGAATGTTCAGAATTCTCAGAATATGCATTAGTTTTCTCTATAAAATAATTTCACACTTTTTTCCTTGGATTTTTTTTTTCCCCAAAACATTTCTGGCTTTTTGCTATTACAGTATTGGTAGGGGTAATTTTTTTTTAGGATTTTAGACATTTCAGCTTGGACAATTTAGAAAGATTTGAAGCCACGATTCTAAAAGATTCCAGAAAAATGTGACAAAATAAAAAATGTCTCCATGGTAGTAACACACAATTTCTTCCATTTTGGAGAACATCTGGAAGAATAATGAAAACATAATAGTTGAATATTTTACTTCTGATACTAGAATTGCTTTGGTAACATTTTTATATTCCTTTTATTTTCTCTACTTTTCACTAGACACAAGCATAGAAAATATCAAAATGCTTCTAATCTTATCATATGGGCAGGCAAATTATAGAAAGGAATTTTTTTATTAACAAAGAAATTGAAAACTGACAATTCAAAAGATTCATCTAATATGTCTTAATGCATCATGCACAAGGCTGGCGCTATGCATTTTGCCACCTGACGCAGTCTCTGTGGATCCTAAACTCTGCTGCCTTTCTAAATACTGCTTCCAATGCATGCTCTAAATTCTTAAAGTTTTGCCATTTCTAGATTTTTTTGCTTGGTGTGTCACTACATTCTAAAAATTATGACGCACCAGCTCTGTGACCAGACCTTACCATATGTATTTCATATTTCTTCTGAATGTTTGTATTACTAAAGAAATAAAATTAGCAGCTTTTTTCCATACATTCTTAATGCATTTAGTCTTTTAGAATAACATAAATCTTTAATTAAATCCAAAAATTTTAAAGTGAAAGGAAACATGTTGAAGAAAGGAACTAAAGATGTAAAGAGAAAGAAAATTATTCTTCAAAGATATGTGCAGTTATTATTATGTAAATTACCCAGTTGTTTACAATTTCAGCCTTTACTATAATTTCCCATTTCTATTTCCTCACCAGAATGCAAATCACTTAGACAGTTTTTAAACTTAGGTTTTTGGAGTGTAAGACAAGAGTGTGTTTCTGACCTCCACTTGCTTTAGTTCCTGTCAACTTTGATAATTTGTAACTATTAGTCTTTCCATTACCGCTCCCTAAATTGAGTTTATTATGATGATAGATACTGAACCACATTAAATTGAAATTAAATTGTATAGTCTTTGACCGCTAGTACATATTTTTAGTTCGAATTTGACTCTCCTTGTTTAATTACATCACCACGAGCTAATTGTTAGCATAAGAACGAATTGTTAGCATAAGAACATGCCTTTATGTTCTTTTTAAATAAGAAGCGTATTTAAATCTTTATTTAAACCTCTGATTTATAGTTACTTTCAGACATAGCGATAATTTGTTTCATGTCTGTTGGGGGGGGGTTGGACTATTAAACTTTTACCAGATCAAGTAAATCCTCATAGGATACTACTTACTATTTACTAAACCTCTAGACTGACCAAGTATGTGACAAAATGAGGCATTAAAAAAAGAAGCTAATTGTTAGTAAAACGTAACTAAAATGTCACTTATCTTCTTTCAAATATGTCCAGTTATTATAAGTGTAAAATATTTAATGCTACTTGATAAATTTCTTAATATTATTTTATTCTCAAACATATTAATAATTATGTTAATTAAGATATGTTTAATAATAATGCATCCTACTAATGGATCTCTTTTATTTTTAGGATGGTATTAAAAAGTGAAGTTCAGGCATGCATATAATATTTTTATTTGAATTTATTGAGTTCCCGTTTGCTCATAGCTCCTTAATTTTTTTCGTTAATAGTCTTTAAAAGTGCTTAATTATCCATGTGCAAAAATGTGTACAAATCCTGTAAAAGCTTGAAGAGGGAGAAAACGATGTGAATTACTTTTTTAGAACATTGTGCTTTTATTTTTTAGAACATTGTGCTAAACAGTAGGAAAACGTGAATAAATATGGTATTCATCATGGATAGAATAAAAAAAAAAGAAACATTTAAACCAAGTAATAATCATAATCCTAAGTGATAATTAAAAAAAAAACTTCCCAAGTGAGAAACACATAACGAAATGTTATAAAAATGGAGAAACAGAGAATTTTGGAAGGATCAAGATATATATTTACATAATGGAGAAAGCCTTACTCATTGTTATCTCTGGTCATTTTTCTGAAATAGCTTCTAGATGAATTTAGAGCAACCAGATTTATCAAATTTAGTTTAGGCAAACTTAAAAAAACAAGAATAAGCCCAGTAAAATCCAAAGCAACAGTAAGCAATATTTAGCAAAAACATAACTGATTTTTTCTGCTCCAGATGAATGCCTAATATCTGTAGACATAATTTGTGATATCTAATACGCAGCAAATAATAATTTGCTATCATCAGGATCTGGTCGACTGGGTCTCGTTGCTCTCTCCGCACCTGGGGGGGGCATATATGGAATTATTACCTTTCTTTTGTAGAGGCATTAAGTATTTTTGAAGCAGAAGTGAAAAAGGAGCAATGCCCTCGCCGGAACATGAACCCCTCAAATACGTGTCGAGCGTGCTGAACATTACACCACAAAGGCGGGAGAAATACCTTATACCCTGTTTGTGATTATGTGTTGCTACGGGTAAAACTGGTATTAAGAAACAGAAAGATATTTTGAAAAATGTCTTCATAAGGGTACTTGTGTGTTAATGGAGAAGGATAGGACAACTTTGGCGTTAATTTGATACATTTGGTTTTTCTTTATTTTGGATGGAAGATGTTTGGCTATAGCTTTGAAGGGTTTTTCACCTTGAGTTTCAGCTTTCTGCCTCCACATGAACTTCGCTAAGTATGATTTCAAATGGTGTCTTGCTGTACCCAGTGTTTTTTGTTGCCATTTGAAAAACCCAATATGATGACTCGCCATCGCACCCTTGTTTGGTCAAGAATTTGCGTTTGATGGTTTGGGAGGGATTGAATCGGCTCTTCATCCAATAGGGAAGTTTTCACGATTTAACCGACACCCTGAATTTAGAGATGGGATCTTTTGCTGATACTGTATATTTGGTGTCAGTTTGGGATCTTATCTATTTATTTATTATTTACCTTTCATGGGAGTTAACATTTAAATCCTTTGATTTAAATGATCAAATGGCGGAAGAGCAATGGGCAATATTGCCTAAGTTCTTTTCCTTCTTTTCATAAGAAGGAAGCACCACTAAATGTTAAATGTTAAAAACTACTTTTCATAGTTAAATTTTAAACATGCAAAAGTCGGGTCAAAAGTGTTAAAATCCAAATTGCCAATCATCCTTTATTAATTTTTATAGGTACGTTTGGCAATGCAATCCGGCAATTTTTTACACATGAAAAGTAAAAGTTATCAATTAAATCGAGTGCAAATTGGAAATTATTGGAACTTTTTTAAAATATTTCCAAACTATTGATATTTATCATAAATCAGCAATAATTATCAGCATACAAGGCTGGTGTGATTGTACCAGGTGGCAGAATTTAGGAAAAGCAAAATTTTTTTAAGGAACCAGGTAGCAGAATTTATGAGTTGCAAAGTTTGCAAAAATCTAGAACCAGCCGTGCCGATATATCAAAACAAAACACATTTCAGCAATTTAAAATGCAAATTTTAATTATTAAATAAAAATTATATCATGAAGTATATAAAAACAATAAAACACATTTTTCGCTAAATCCTTTTGTAAATTTTTTTGTGCTGTTTTTCTGATGTACACAAAGATTTATTTTCACTAAAAAAATCATCAGAGAATTGCAGGCTGGCTATTACAAAATGCAGCTCTTCATTGTGCCTTTTAAAAGTTTCGCTGTAAAATACTGTATACCTGCAGAAATTTTACAACAGTTTCTTCCAGTGTTATCAAATTCCACAAGCACATATTTTAAAATTAAGTTTAAAACAAAAAAAAAAAAAAAAAAAAAACACAATTTGTCTATAAAATCCATTGGAACTAGAAATGCATACGAAAATAATAATTTTGCTTGATTGATTGTTACTGTTACGAAATGTCCAACTGTGGTAAGATAGCTTCTCCGCAAGGCGCGTTTAGGGTTGCCAGAAAATGGCAGAGCAGGGTTGTTATATTTGGTGCAAAATCACCCATTTTGCAACAAAATTGGCGACATGCCATGGATGAATGGAGAA